TAAGTAGAGAGACTGTATACAGCACAATAGTTTATCTAAAGAAAAGGATCATATTGGTTATGAAACTTAACTCTTCTTTTTACTATTTTCTCCCAGAATGGAATTGAGTACTTGTTCAATGAGAATGAAAAGTGTATTACCAAATTGTGCTAGAAAGAGCACAGCCTTCCTCCTGTAGCATTTACAGAGAAGTTAGTCTCTTTAGAAAGAGGCAGAAACAAAGGAAAATAGATCTTTAAAATTTAAGTTACCTTTTTCAGTAGATAATTTTAATACTTAGAATTCACATTCTCCCTGATAGAGTAGAACTTTACTTTTTTAGAGGTCTTTATATTTAATTTTTTGTAGTACTTGAATTCTTAATCTTATTTTTTAAATGTCTACTATTTTCCAGCATAATAAAGTCTACTGAGGCATTTCAACCCAAAAAGGGGCATACTTACAGAGCAACATCAGTGTACAGATAATTGTATAGTATCTGTCTTGTTAATGATACCCAACAGTATCCCAAGAACAAGTGAATCTTTTGAAATTTCTTAACCCCAAGAAGTACCTTAGACATTGGGGAAAATAGGATACAGAGAGTTAAGTATTGGTATATCTGTAACTGTGTAGGCAAACAGAGTGGCCATTATATCTACTTCAATGGGTGCTCACAGCAGGGTTGGACACTAACATCTTTTATTCAAAGAAGAAATGTTAACTAAGATGCTAGAGCTATTCTTTTGTTTGTGGAAAATGCCTTATCAGCCATAATTTTTGAAAAAAGAAACCCAACTTGAAGACAGTAAATAGTTTGTATATTTAGAGTTTGCATTTTGGCTCTTAATTTGTTGCTTACACTTTGCTTTCAGAGGAGGTTTTATTTTATATTGAGTCTCAAGCAAAACACCAAGGTTCTAACCTTTTGAACATACTAGAAAAGATAGTAGACCAGTGTTTTCTGTATTACCTCCAGTTGGAAGCTTATCACAAATCTTAAAAGGAAGTATATGTACTTAACCTAAAAGGTGAGACCTCTTAGTAGTCTAACTAAAATGAGTTGGCTTGCTTTTGGCTAGAGGTGTGTCTCCTCCAGGTAGTAGCCTTACTGGTTAGAAGTGAACAATTAATTGGACATAAGAAAATGAATTTTTTATTTTGTAAGTGATGTTATTTATATACAGAATATTTCAAAGTGTAAGACCCATAGATCCTGGGGCCATACTTTTTTTTTTTTAATATTTATTTATTTATGCTTACAGAACTGGGGTACGGGCCAGAGGTGTGGTGGGTGAGTGGATTCACTAGAGACAGAGTGGGGAGAAGAACAGACAGATTGACAAAGTACACTGCTGAGAGTAGCAGTGGGCGGGTCAGAATAGGTCTGCCATGGCATGTGGGTCAGCTTCCTGGCTGGGGATCAAACTCGTGCTGCAGTGGTTCAGAGAGCTCATAATACGGTGCTTTAACCCATTGCGCCACCAGGTAGAGTCCATGGGACCATACTTTTTAAAGAAGTTTTTGGGTGGCTGAAATAAAATAGAACAAACAGCTGTGTTGTTTCCTACCCCATGAATGTGGATGTAGGTGTCAGAGAGCTATGCTCCTTCTGAAACCAGAAGGTTTTTTTGCTGGCAGTTACAGACTAATTTTCTAGTATGTTATTTGACTTGTAGCGGGTAAATCCATTCTCTACTTTTGTTATCATGCAATGTTCACTCTCTGTGTTCACTTGGCTGTCATTTATAAGAACACCAGTGATTATTGGAATAGAGACCCACTCTGTACCAGTGTGACATCATTTACTTTAATTACATCTTCAACTATACTATTTCCAAATAAGGTCACATTCTGAGGTACTTGGGGCTTAGGATTTGAATGTGTCTTTTTAGGGGGAACATAGTTCAACTCATAACAGATCTCAAGGAAGATTGATATAATTACATTTTAATGGTTTTAACATGTTTTACTTCAGATTTGATATGAGTGGAGTTTTAGTCAGTGCCCACCCATATGGCTGTATTCTCTACATTTTGAGTTCCCCTTCCCTTCGGTCTACACATATAATACATATAAAATTTTATAGGAGGTTTTTAACTCTTTGGAGTTAGTAGATTCTTTGAGAATCTGATAAAAGTAGTAGATTCTTCCCCTAGAAAAATAGGTAGATGTATCATGGATTTGCACACTTACCCATTTACACACTTATAGACACAACAATATTTTGTATGTAACTTTAACATGTTCTTGGACTTCATCCATCACAGGTCTTTTTCTGATTAAAAAATTATAGTCACAAGTAATTGCTTCAAAAACAATAACAAACCGTCACCTTTTTTTGGACTAAAATGTTAAAGACTGCCAAGGGACCATACTGAGCATCATTGCCAAAGAATTAAAAGGAAATTATATGAATAAGGAAAATTAAATGCCCAGTATTTTGTGTATTATAATACTTCACTCTCAGTGGTATGTGATCTGTAGTTTAGAGATGAGGAAAGTACAGAAACAGGAACATTAACTTA